ACTTGCCTGCAAAGAATTTATCTGTGAGCAACAGTGGGCATCTTATGTGTGAGTCACTCTGCAATTTCAAAGCACACAAACCTGAAGGACTGCTTCTCACCTGCAGGGTGAGAGGGAAGAGTAATATCATTCCCATTTCATGCATGGCAAAACTAAGTCCACTGTTTCTTGTCCAAGCTGTAAAGTCAAGGGTAAGAGAAAGAACGTGGGCTCTGGTGTGACAAAAGACCTAGCTGATGACCGTGGGCAGGTTGCTGAAGTTCTCCGTGCTTCCCTGTCAGAAGTAGGACTGTGATTGCCGTTGGTGGTGAGGATAGGATGGCAGTGACGTGGGGTTGCATTTCCTGTGTGCTCGTTGCTGTATTAAACACAGCCAACGGGTGGTCCCATCCGCGGCTCAGAACGCCTCTCTGGGTGGTGACTATTATTCCCATTTTTCAGATGTTGAAACTGAGGACTCGACAGTTTAGTAGCTTGTCCACAATCTCAAGGCCTCTAGGCGCTCTGCCACTCAAACCCATGTCTATGTGACTCCGAAAACCATGTCGTATCCTTTCACATTTGCACGGAGTTGTGCCTCTAGCGAGAGGCATTGACAGATGACTGGCTGTCTTTTCATGAGCACTTTTCCCACCTTAGGAACTGCTCCTGCCCCGTTCCCTTTCAGATTCTTAGTGCCTTCCTGCCCTTGACCTCCTGTCAAATGAGAAACAGACCTGGGTTAGGTCAGTTTTGCCTGTCAGCTGGTAGTGAGTGCTGAATAATCTCCAGTGGGAATAAATTTCTCTTGGGACATTATTGATTAGACATTTGCATTTTCTAGTTTTTGTCTCTGATTATGGAATGAAAGGTTTATACCCCTGGAAGGAATGTCAAACATCATGGACTAGTAGGTGGGAGAGATTTAGGGAAAAGGGTGGAGGGCAGGTGTTCCAGAAATCATAGGGTCTGATTACTTAGGACTAAGCTGGCTGCCTATAACAGAAAGCCCAAAATAACAGTGGCTTAAACTCATAAGAGTTTATTTTCCTCTCTCTCTCTTTCTCTCCCCCACACACATACACACACACACCTGGAAGAAGACAGTATAGCATTGGCATGGTGGCCCCATGAACATTCTAGTCCAGTCTTCCTGCTCCACTAACTATCCTTAGCAGGAGACATTATCCTCAAAGTCACTTCATGGCATAAGATGGTTGCTGGAGCTCTGGCCATCATGTCTGCATTCCAGTTAACAGAAGGAAGTGAGGGGGGGGGCTGCAAAAAGGGGTCCACCCAATACCTTCTGCAAGGGAGGTTGAGAAATGTGACTTATCAACTGGGTACATTGCCCAAGGTCTCATTAGCAAAGAAGGGGGATGGATATTGGGTAGATGCCTAGAAGTCTCTGCCGTATATGACTTACTTATAAGAGTGGCCTGGAAAACCCAGATTGGGTGGCCCTGTTAGGGTGACTGTCAGCAGGGCGGTGACACCTCACTGGTGGCCCTGCACAGCTGGAGAACTCATCCCACCGGCGTTCCTGCAGGGCCACTGCTCCTTCCCCTCAGTATTTCCCTCTTGCCTTGCTCACCCCACCCCTTCTCGCCCTCCGCCTCTCTGCTCCCGGACTCCCAGCCTTCCTTGTCACGTCCTCTCCTCCTCTGCGGCTCACCGAAGGCTGTGCTTCACCCTCCCCGGGGCCTGCTGAGGCCTCGGGGCCACAAGTCCCCAGCCCCTCCAGCCCCTCTAGCATGCAGGAGCCTGGAGTGGGGAGCAGGAAGGTGCTGCTCGTGGGGCGCTGGGCGGGAGGACAGCAGAGCGACACCCAGCTGCGGGGAGTGGCGCGGTGGCGTTTGCGTCAGGCCACGATAGAGATCAGACTCCACCTGGCAACCGTGAGTCGATGGCACTCATAGAAACTGCAGAGCTGTACCGGCGCGGTCTCATCTGAGGAGTGCGACACAGTCGGGACCCGGCCCCGCTCCCCCCAGCACTGGTGACTCCGTGGAATCTCGGCCTTTGCCTTGTAGGAGGAAACTGAGTCAAAATGTGGTTGCTGCCCGCCCCCCCCCCAGGCCCGAGTGCCTCACGACATCCCCAGTGCGACACGTCTGTTACTGTGCTGTTAATTTAATACCAGCGCTTGCGTGGTGACGGCAGAGGTGGTGATTTTCATGCGTCCTTGGTCTCCATGGGACCGAGTCAGCTGTTCCGTGCAGAACGGGCTTCTATTTGCAGCTTTAAAAAAGGGCGGAAGGTTAGACGGGCACACAAGGCTCGACTGAGAAGGGTCTCGACTGCCCAGGCAGGGAGTGTGACCTTCGCCGTGACTGCTTGCTGCCCTCCCCACCCCACCAGTGCCTGCTCTTTGCCCCTGGGCGGTGGCTTCTCTTGGTTGTCTACTTGCTACAACCTGGCACGGGAGCGAGACTTCTTTTTAGCGCCGGCACCAGTCTTGATCTTAAGAAGGCAATCCCAGCAAGTTGTAATAATGTCTTGGGACGTCATTGATTAGACATTTGCATTTTCTAGTTTTTGTCTCTGATTATGGAATGAAAGGTTTTTACCCCTTGAAGGAATGTCAAACATCACTGACTAGTAGGTGGGAGAGATTTAGGGAAAAGAGTTTCCATCTGCTAAAGGTGACCCAGAAAGAATGTGATCTAAGATCAAAGGGAGAGAGGGGTCCACTGACCCGAGGTCCCCAGTGCAGCTTCCCTGCGCAGGGAGCGGAGGGTGGAGACAGGGGTGGTCCTGGGGCTGATACCACACACCCCCCTCGGCCGCTGTGGCCTCCCTGCCACCACCAGGCAACATGATGAAAACCAAGGCCCATCCGGCTTGTAGGGTGCTGGAGACGTTTCTAGCCTCACAGTGTAATGGGGACTCGACAGGACAATTTCTAAGCCTGCTTCAAAGGAGTCAGCTTGTACAAAAGTGTATAGGCTCCCAGCCCTTCCATATTGCACAGCCTTTTCTAATTCGTTCCCAGCTCAGGCCCCGCCCATCCATCCGTCACCCCCAAAGCCCACATGCCACGCTAAACGGTGGGGTCCATTGCCAGGAGAGGCCGAGGAGGGAGGGGGCTTTGACCGTGTCTTCAGGGCGGGTGGACGGTTTTGTCTGCTGACTGTGCGCTCCACCTGGGAGCTGCTGGTATCCTGGATGGTCAGCACCGGCCACGCACCTCTGAAAATAGCTCCCTCTGGGTGGGTCACCTGGTCAGGCACAGATGTCCTCCTAAATGTCCCCCGATTAAAGCAGCAGGAACACATGAAGCAGCAGTCACGTGGAGTCCGCGTGGCTAACAGGAAGCAGCTTCCAGCTCCACCTGCACCGCTGTCCCAGATGGGACGGGTAGGGCATCTCGGGACACACGGGTGCAGGTGCCAGAGACTGCTCCTTGAGCGAGCTTCAAGGAGAAAGTAGTCAACACTATCAAACGCCCCAAGAGACAAGGTCAAGGGGAATGGTGGTGAGGCCGAGCTGTTGGGTTCGGGGACTGAGAAAACACTGGAGAGGGTTTCAGGAGGCGGTGGGGTTGGGAGCCCAGGGCCGAGCGTTTTGGAGGAAACCTGATGCGGAGGGACAGTGCTCCTGAGTGTGACCTGGGCGGACAGAGGCAGAAAGGCAGCGAAGAAACGGGGTCGGCGGGGCGTGGGTCACCCATTAGAAAACACGAAGTAGGAAAAGAAACGAGAAATAAGGTCAGGGGATTTTGCATGTGTGTGTTGTGTGGTCAGGTAGACTGGGGGTGTCTGTGTCCGCCACGATTCTTCCCCGGGCGAGGGGAGCTTTTCTCTGTAATGCATGTGAGTGGCCACCAGGTGGTGTCCCAAGTCCTGATAGAAATAGCCACTGTTTTCAGGGATTATTCCTAGCAAAAATAGGCGTAACATTAACTTCTAAACCTGCAACGATTACATAAAAAAAAAAAAAAAATCACACAAAAGGCTAAAAATCAAAGCAATTAGGTTTCAAGTTAGAATAGCATAATTTGGTAATTTTCTGCCATTTACTAAGCAAAAATCGCCACCCTTCTGTTTCTAGCTGTCTCGAAGCCCCAGGTTGGGCTTGCACTTCTGTGGGGATGTCTTGTCCTTCCAGCTCCCAGCTCAACCCCAGGCCACGGTGGCCCCACTCTGGACGGGGACTCCCTGGGACTATTTCTGAGCTCTGGCAAGAAGGTGGCCTGCCCCACTGAATCCCAGCCCCTGTCCTGTTCCCTGGGTGCATGAGGAGTGCGAACTGTTGTTTGATCTTATGATTGACATGGAACTGAATGTATACTCTAAATGGGCTACTTTCCAGCCACAGAACTGAGTCAAGATGCAGGAAAAAAAAAAGGAGAAACATCTTATTTGTTTCTTCTCCACATTTTGAAATTAGAAGAGGCAGAGTGGGGAGAGGCCAGAGAGGGGATGCGGGCCGTGTGGGGAGCTGTGTGCTCCCTTAGAGCAGAGATGATGCCAGGCAAGACCACAGGCCCCCAAGAGGGCGTGGGGTGCCAGGCAGACACATGGAGGTGCAAGCGGAGATTGGAAACTACCCAGTGGCTGGAACAGACGGGCTGAGGGGTGCCTGTCACAGCCACTATGGGAAGGCACCCAGAGAGGGGAGCAGTGACAACAGGGACCCAGGAACAAGTGGGCAGCCTCCTGGGCCCAGGGTCCCCTCCTCCCACTCTCTGAAGAGCAAAACGTGGCCAGTCCAACTGAGATGGGGCCTGGAAATCAGACTGCTAAAGGCCTCAGAGGCCACAGATCTTATCTGCCCCTTGGGGGGAAACTGAGGCCCAGGGATAAGTGACCTGCCCAAGGCCATGCAGAATAGAACTCAGGCGTCCAGCCCGGGCCCTTGGAAGGTCCAGATAACGGCTCTCTCCCCAGGGTTCCTCTGAGTCTCGTGTGGAAACCTCCAGCCCGCCCGTCCAGTGCCTGGCTCGCCATGAGGCACAAGGGCGAGATGCTGAGGGACAGATAAGCCCGTGAACTCTGTTTCTGGTTGTTGTCCCACAGGAATCTCCTACCAGCGACTGGTGAGGGCCGAGCAGGGCCTGCCCATCAGGAGTCACCGCAGCTCCACCGTGTGAGTGCTCCGGGGGGAGGGAGGAACCGGAAGCCGGGTGTAGGTTCATTTTTCTAGGCTGAGGGTCTTTCATCAGATTCCTAAAGGGGTCTGCATCAATTGTGCCAGGTGTCAGGCACACATTACTTCACTTTATCCATACTTTTCGGATGAGGAACTGGAAGTCAGACAGGCCAAGTAACTCCCGCAAGGCCACACAGCTAGCAAGTGTCTGAGTCAGGATTTGAACCTCAGTCTTATGCGCAGAAGCCCATGCTATTTCCACAGTGTCCTTCTGCCTGATACTGAAACAGTGTTTCCAAACCATTTTCACCAGGACCTACAATTAAAACTACATGTTATATGACAGCCTGGTACACGCATGTGTGCACATGCACACACACACACACAGTTGAAACAAGTTTCATGCCTACTGCATGGGATAAGCTCTGTCCTTTTCTATTTCTTTTCTTCTTTTTTTTTTTTTTTTTTGAGACAGAGTCTCACTTTGTTGTCTAGGCTAGAGTGAGTGCTGTGGCGTCAGCCTAGCTCACAGCAACCTCAAACTCCTGGGCTCAAGCAATCCTTCTGCCTCAGCCTCCCAAGTAGCTGGGACTACAGGCATGCGCCACCATGCCCAGCTAATTTTTTCTATATATATTAGTTGGCCAATTAATTTCTATTTTATAGTAGAGACGGGGTCTCACTCTTGCTCAGACTGGTTTCGAACTCCTGACCTCAAGCAATCCGCCCGCCTCGCCCTCCCAGAGTGCTAGGATTACAGGCGTGAGCCACCGCGCCTGGCCGATCCTATTCTATTTAAGAAGCAAATTCTAGTTGTGACTCCTCAAAGTGACTTCACTGCCCACGCCTGGGTCCTGACCTGTGGTCTGTAAAGCACTAGAGAGGGGCGCCCGTTCCAAGGCCCCTCCGGAGGTCTCGCCTTGACACCTTGGGAGCCCACAGCCTTCACGGGCTCAGAAACTATAGGCCCCCTCACCCTGCCCCAGCCCCAAGGGTTCACTTCACAGCCACCCGCTGAGAAACACTTCCAGAGTTCCTTCTAGATAGGAACAAACAAGCCTGTGGGAGGCGTGGAAAGAGACAGAAAGGACATGGGAGTGTGTGGGTTAGGGAGTGAATAAGACACCCCCCGGGGGCTGAGGCAGGTGGGCTGCTGAGGAATCACTAACACCTTTTAGGCACCTCCTGGGCTGCAGGCTCTGTCGCCAGCGCTAACCCTGGGAGGAAGGGGTTTTTCAGATGAGGAGAGGAGGCAGGGGAGGTTGTACAGGAAGAGCCAGGGCTGGGAGAGGGTCTCAGGTTCCTGGTCTGTAAACTGGGAAGGATGCAAAGTTCTTTGGCACAGAATTCACGCCAGCTGGTGAGGGCCGGGGCTCGGCTGGTCTCGCCTGCACACAGTGGTGCTCAGCACATGTCCGTGGAAGGAGTGAGCAAGCGCTTAGCAAGGGACAGGGGCTCCGGAAGCCTGGAGGGAAGGCCGCCCGCGTGGTGCTTCTTCGCACTGGGGTTGAAGGCAGCATGGGCCTGCGGGAGTGAGAGCAGCTGCGGGTAGTTCGTACCAAAGCAGGTGCCACAGCCGGTCCTCTGTGTCCCAGCACCGTGCTGCTGCTGAACCCAGTGGAGGTGCAGGCCGAGTTCCTCGCCGTGGCGGACAAGCTGAGCGCGCCCGGGCACTCGCCACACAGCACCTACACCACCCTGCTCCTGCACGCCTTCCAGGCCACCTTTGGGGCCCACTGTGACTTCCCAGGCCTGCACTGCAGGCTGCAGGTACGTCCCTGGGGCCCTGGGGCTCAGTGGGGCACCTTCCTGGGGAGGCAGAGCCTCCTCTCTGCACCACCTTGGCCTCAGCCTCTGGGCTATGCTGGTCCTCCTCACCCTGAGGGACATGGCAGGGCAGTGGCTGCAAGACTGGCCCCGTCGAGGGGGTTTCTGGAGTGCTGGGTCGTGACCAGAGCTGAGTGGCACCTGGCCAGTGGGCCGGGCGCCTCAGAAGATGGCACATGCCATGGGGATGAGCTTTGGACTGAAGACCTGGCCTTTCTCTCCTGACCATTTCCTGAGAATGGGAGTTGAGGGGGCGGCCTGGCTCCAGCTGCAGGGAGAGGTAGGGACTGCCGGTCACTGCTGCCCTTGGCAAGACCCTAGGAACTGGAACAGGCGTGCAGCTAGGCCATGGTACAGGAGCTAACCCTCTCTCCTCCTGGGACTTCAGGCCAAGACCCTGGCAGAGCTTGAGGACATCTTCACAGAGACTGCAGAGGCACAGGAGCTGGCCTCTGGCATCAGGGATGCCGCAGAGGCCCGGCAGTGGCTCAGGACCAAGCTGCAGGCGGTGGGAGAAAAGGCCGGCTTCCCTGGCGTGTTAGGTGAGGCTCATGGGAGGCTGGGGCTCTGCCCACTTTCCCATCCCCTGTTCTAGCTCCGCAGGTGCGCAGGCCAGGTGGGCCCAGTGGCTCTGCTCCACGCAGTCATTCGGGGCCCAGGTGCTACAGCATCTTGTTGCTCCACCATTTCCTAGGACGTCGTCCCTACCTGTGGGGTCCGGGTTGGGTTGCCACCACGTTGGCGGCTCATGGGAAGAGGAAAGAGAGTGCTCACTTAGGGCAAGGGGCGTGGCTTTTGGGGGGAGGTAATGCCGAAGGTGCCACATCACTTCTGCATGGATCCCTCTGAGCCCACCTTGGTCACATGGGCTCATCTTGCCCTAAAGGAGCCCAGGAAACATTCTCGCTCCTGTTGCCATAGAAGTGAGCACCGATTTTGAGGAGCAATCATCAGTCCTTGTTACACTGTTCCTCATGAAAACCTGTGTGCTTGTACTATTCTTTCCCCATGTGGACGTTGTAAAATGAGCCTCAGAGGTTGTGACTTGGCCACAGTCACGCAGCTCGTAAAGGCCATAGATGTGGGGTGCTTGGGAGAAAGGTCCTCTGGCTGGGAGCCAGGCACCCAGGTCGAACTCAGCCTCCACCCATCCGGCTGTGCAGCCTTGTGCCAACTCGGGTCTCTGCTCCGAGACAAGGGGACTGGGCTGGCCAATCTCCAAGGACTCTTCCCAGCCCTCTTGTCCCTCCCTCCCTGTTCCTACAGACACTGCAAAACCCGGAAAGCTCCATACCATCCCCATCCCCGTTGCCAGGTGCTACACCTACAGCTGGAACCAGGACAGCTTTGGTAAGGAGCCGGCTGGGGACCCCCAACTGCCCGCGCTGTCTTTCCCGGCCCTGGTCTGTGCAGCTGCCCCCGACCCCCACCTGGGCCGGCTCTAAGCACAGCAGGGCGCCGTGCTGTGAGGCCTGGGCTGGCCCTCAGCTCCCTTCTGTGCCTCCTCCAGTCCAGTCTGCCTCAGCCTGTCCCCCCTCTGAAGGTACACAAGAGGTGGCCCAGGAGCCTGGACACCCTGACAGTGCAGCCCTTTGCTTCCCTGCAGACATCCTGCAGGAAATCCTGCTCAAGGAACAGGAGCTGCTCCAGCCAGGGATCCTGGGGGACGACGAAGAGGAAGAAGAGGAGGAGGAGGAGGAGGAGGAGGACTTGGAAACTGACGGACATTGTGCCGAGAGGGACTCTCTGCTTTCCACGAGCTCCTTGGTGTCCCGCGACTCCACCCTGTCCCTTGCCTCCTCCCAGGCCTCAGGGCCAGCCCTTTCCCGCCACCTGCTGAGCTCCTTCGTGTCGGGCCTCTCGGATGGCATGGACAGTGGCTACGTGGAGGACAGTGAGGAGAGCTCCCCCGAGTGGCCCGGGAGGCCTGGCAGCCAGGAGCGCCAGGGCCACCGCAGGCCTGGGCAGAAGTTCAACAGGATCTATAAGCTCTTCAAGAGCACTAGCCAGCTGGTGCTGCGCAGGGACTCTCGGAGCCTGGAGGGCGGCTCGGACCTGCCCCTGCGGCGGGCAGGCAGCCTCTGCAGCCCCCTGGACAGCCTGGAACCTCCCCCGACGCGGGCCCAGCGCTCCCTCTCCCTGCCCCAGGCCAAGCTCGGCACCCAGCTGTCCAGCTGGCTCCTGGCCCCTGCTTCTCGCCACCAGCGCCGCCGCCCCTTCCTGAGTGGGGACGAGGACCCCAAGGCTTCCACACTACGCGTTGTGGTCTTCGGCTCCGATCGGATCTCAGGGAAGGTGGCTCGGGCGTACAGCAAACTTCGGTAAGAGCTGGGATGGGCGGCGTCGCTCGCCCTGGGTAGCCAGGTTGTTGAGTTGGTGGGACCTGGGGCCTGAGGCTCAGGATCCGAGAGGGACCAAGGGTTCCCTTCTCACCACCTTCTTTTTGCCAGGCGACTGGAGAACAACCGCCCGCTCCTCACGCGGTTCTTCAAGCTTCAGTTCTTCTACGTGCCCGTGAAGCGAAGCCAGGGGGCCAGCTCTGGCGCCTGTGCAGCTCCTCTGAAACAGACACCCCCACCCCACACAGACTCCCCGAGGCACCCCAGCCCCGCAGTATGTCCCCAGCCCTGGGCCAGATGGGGTGGGGAAGTAGGGTGGACATGAGCAAGTTCTAGCTACCCAAAGGGGGCTGGTTGGAGGTCATCAAAAGTAATCCCCTGCGTTTCCGGGGCACCTAATCCTGCCTGGCCCTCAGTCCCAGGTCCCTGCCCTGTATTTGGGTATGACATTTTGTCACATGGCAAAGGCTGAAAGTTGTCTTACTCCTCCGAAGGCAGGGAGAGGCTCAGCTTGGGGCTATAGCTGCCATCCTGGGCTCTGGAGCTAGGATGGGCAGGCCTCCCGGGTGCTGGGAATGACCCTTGTCTCTTGCCCCAGGAGCTGGGCACGGCCCCGTGGGAAGAGAGCACCAATGACATCTCCCACTACCTCGGCATGCTCGACCCCTGGTACGAGCGCAATGTGCTGGGCCTCATGCACCTGCCCCCTGAAGTCCTGTGCCAGGTAGGTGGCCCGTGGGGTGAGGGGAGAGGGCCTGCTGGCTGCAGTCACACAGCCTCAATCCAACTTGAGACCCCCATGGAGGACCAGGGCTCACTTGGACAAGAGCAAGGAGGGTGGGAGAGAAGTAGGACTGAGCCTTAGAGCTGAAGTCACTGCAGTGACAGGGGAATGTCCTCAAGGATCCAGGGGACCTTAGATTTCAGCCACTTCCTCAACTCCTGGCCTTGTCCAGCTTGGCCAGAGGCCTCCCTGAGACGATGTGGGGGCGAGGTACAGGGTGGCCATGTACCTCCCTGTTTCCTGCTTCCATCTCACCATCTCTCCCTGGCTCCATCTGCCTTGTATCTCCTGTCTCTGCCTCTGGGTACGTGTGTCTTTGCCTCTCCTCCTCCCACGTTCTCTTTCCCTCTTGCCCTCTACCCACCTGCCCCTCTGGCCGCAGCAGTCCATGAAGGCCGAAGCCCAGCCCCTGGAGGGCTCCCCCGCACAGCTGCCCATCCTGGCCGACATGCTGCTGTACTACTGCCGCTTTGCCGCCAGGCCGGTGCTGCTGCAGGTCTATCAGACCGAGGTAAGGCCCGCCCTGCCCCACGTCTCCACGTGCGCATAGAGTTACTGGCAGGCCAAGTCAGCGCCGCCAGGTCCCAGCCCGCGTCCCGCCGGGCTTGCAGGCCCCGCCCGGCCCCCAGGCAGCCTGCAGCCCCGTGCTGGAGAAGCGGGCGGGCCCCCACAGGAGGGTCACACTGAAGCACAAACCCCGCCCCCCCCAACCGAACCTCAACAACGGGGAAAAAAACAAAAAAAAACTCAATCAACCCCTGGAACCGGGGCAACCCGCCGCCAAAACGCCCAACAAAGCCTCCCGGGGGGAACGCCCGAAACCAGGAAAAGCAGCAGGCGGGCCCCCGGGAGGGGCCGCACCGGGGCCGGGCCCCACCGGGCGCGGCCGCACCCGGCGGCGCCGCATCCCGCGGGCCCGCACGCCCCGGGGCCGCATCGCCCGGGGCCGCGGTCTCCCGGGGGCGGGGCCACAGGTATGTGTGGGCACTGAAGTGGGAGGGAGTAAAGGGTCTACCATCTGTGTGTGGCGCAGGTCCCGGCGGCAGCAAGCGGCTGGGCATCGATGGTGACCGGGAGGCCGTCCCTCTAACACTACAGATAATTTACAGCAAGGTAAGGCAGGTGCTGGGACTCCTCCTCCGGGATCTGCTGCCGATCCTTCCTCCACCAGAGCTTGGGACCAGCGCTGAACTCATACGTTCCTGGGCCCCAGTCTTTAAGCTGGAAAGTCTCAGAAGGCTCCCCGATGCTGAGAGAGGCAGGAGGGGAGGGAATGGACGTCTCTCCGCCCCTTTGCCTCCTCCAAAGTCTCCCTCCCCATGTGTTTTCTGCCCTCACCTGAATGCACTCAGCAGGTAGTGTCAGGGGCAGTTCTGCTGGGCCTGGCTACAGAGCTGCGGGTGAGACAGGGCGGCAGAGGGCGGCTCCAGAGGCAGTGTGAGGGTGTGCGGGGCTGGTGGCCTGGCTGGCGGCATGCAAAGTGGGAAGGGAGTGTTCAGGGTTGTGGGGAGGAGGAGGGATGCCCAGGAGGCACCAGAGCACATGAGCTTCTGAGCAGGTGGCACCGGGGTACAGGCTGAGAGGGGCTTGGCCTCACAGGTGGGAGCCCTTCTTCCTTCTTTCCTTTCGTTCAGAAGATATTTATTTAGCACCTACTCACACCGCCTCTGTGCTGGGCAGCGGAAAGAGCAGTTGAGCAGGGAAAGCTAGGCCCTCCCTTTGTCTGTCCCCTACCTAGAGGAGGGGACGGACAAAAAAACAAGGGACCAAATAAATAGCCAAGATAATTTCAGAGTGGTGAGTGATGACAAGGCAATAAAAGGGCAGATAATTAGTGATGTTGGGGACTCCTTCACATTTGGTGGTCAGGGAGGCGGGCAGGGGACTGACCTTCACTGAGAGCTGTGTGCTAGGTGTTTGTTAAACATCCTCTATGGCCTGGACGTTGTCCTAGGCATGGAGTGTTCATAAGAGTGAGCAAAGGACAGGTGTGGTGCTGGTAGACCTGCTTACAGTCTGGAGGGGGTAGTAGCCATTGGATGGATGGATGACTCAACAACGTGTACAAATACAACTGTGACAAACAGATGAAGGGGAGGTGCACGGTGCTGTACCCAAGTGGCAGGTTCAGCCCAGTCAGGAGAGTTAGAGAAGGCTTCCTTGAGAAGGGATATTGAGTTAATATTAGAAAGAAAACCAGGAGTTAATGAGGCTGAGAAGAGAGGGGTGCGCTCTTCAGGCAGCAGGAATAGCATGTGCAAAGGCCCTGTGGTGGGAGGGAGTGTGACCATCAAAGGGCACTGAAAGAAGACCACAGGGGCTGGAGCAGAGAGAGTGAGTGGGAACATGATGATGAGATGAAGCTAAAGAAACAGGGAGGCCAGCACACAAGGGCCTTGATTGCAATGAGAGGAACTGTGTCCTTGTCCCAAGGGCAATGGTTGTCCATTAAAGGCGCTTACGTTGTAGTGGGGCTAGGAATGCATGAGACGTGATCAGATTTGCGGTGGGGAAGCTCCCTCTGGCAGCTCTGGGAGGCCAGACTGGAAGTGTCCACAGGTGATGCAGCAAGGCCAGTTAGGGGGCGACTGTGGTTGTCCAGAAGAGAAATGTAGGCAGCCCACATTAGGGTAGAAAGAAATGGGAGACAGATGTGAGTTATGTGACCAGCAGGACTTAGGGACAGATTAGAAAAGAAGAGGCCGAAACTCCTGGGTCCAGTCTTCTGTGACTGGCAGTACATCTCAGGTGGGGAACACAGGAAGAGGCCCAGGTGCAGTGGGGGAGGCTCACGGGTTTGGGTTGGGACATCTTGAGGTGGAGAGGCCCTTGACAGGTGTAAGGAGAAAGTCAGACTAGCCAGTGTGTTGTAGGGGCCCAGCACAGGGGTGAAATACGAAGATGGGTGTGTAGGTGCTGATGGAAATGGTGCGGATGAGATTCCTTAGTGGAGAAAGTGGGGTACAAAGAGCGGAAGACATAGGAGAAGGTCTGGGGGACCTTCATAAGGCAACGGTGGCCAGAGGCGGGTGATGGGTAAAGCAGAGAGGCCGCAGCCAGAGAGGTGGCAGGAAGGCCACACATGCCCCCCTCACGGAAGCTCAGAAGAGTTTTCCAAGGAGGGGAGAGTGGCGAACAGAATCAAGCAAGGTCTGCGAGGTTAAGTAAGCTGAAAACTGAGAAATGTTGTTGGGTTTCACAACATGGAAGCCCCCGATGAAAGAGACGCACAAACAGGGGCCCAAAGAGGGGTTCTGGTCTGGCTCTGCCTCACTCTCGGCTCAGCGGGACAGCCTCAAGACCACCCCTTCAGGTGCCCTTAGCTCTCGTGCCCTGGTCGTGGAGGCTGGCCCCAGGACCAAGCCAGTGACCCGCCGAGCCTCCCTGGAGCCATCTGGGTCTATTTAGGGTGGTGCAGGGCTCTAGCCAGTGAGAGGGAGCTTCCTGGGGACATGGTGACTGCAGGCAGCACCCTGGCCCTGGTAGGTCTTCAAAGAGGAGGCCACAGGCACAGGACCTCTGGGCTGAGAGGGTCTGGCTGTGCTGTTTCCAGGGAGCCATCAGTGGGCGAAGTCGCTGGAGCACCCTGGAGAAGGTCTGTACCTCCGTCAACCTGAGCAAGGCCTGCCGGAAGCAGGAGGAGCTGGGTGAGTGGGGCGGGCGGGGGGACAGGGCAGGGAGGTGCTCTGAGCCTGGCCTGACCCCCACTTGCCCTGCAGACTCTAACATGGAAGCCCTGACGCTAAACCTGACGGAAGTGGTGAAAAGACAGAACTCCAAATCCAAGAAGGGCTTCAACCAGGTAAGGGTTTCCCCGTCCTTCCAGCCACACCCTCAGGAGACTTGTTGGAGCACGCATGTGCATGTGTGTGTGCACGTGCAGGCACATGTATATGTGTGCATGGCACGGGTTCATGTGTGTGTGTGTCTGTGTGTGTGAGAGAAAGAGAGAGAAAGGAGGGGTGTCTGCAGTGCCTATGGGTGGGAATGGAGAGGCAGGGTGAGGGGTGTGGTTTTGGGGGTGCACAGGTGTGGAGTGCTGTGGGGTGTCAGAGAGGGAGGGGTGCCTGTGAGAGGACACGTGTGGAAAGGCGGTGGATGGGCATGAGGAGAGCTTTTTTTTTTGAGACAGAGTCTCGCTCTGTTGCCCCGGCTAGAGTGCCATGGCATCAGCCTAGCTCACAGCAACCTCAAACTCCTGGATTCAGGCAATCCTCCTGCCTCAGCCTCCTAAGTAGCTGGGACTACAGGCATGCACCACCATGCCCGGCTAATTTTTTCTATTTTTAGTTGTTTGGCTAATTTCTTTGTATTTTTAGTAGAGACAGGGTCTTGCTCTTGCTCAGGCTGGTCTCGAACTCCTGAGCTCAAGCAATCCTCCTGCCTCGACATCCCAGAGTGCTAGGATTACAGGTGTGAGCCACCATACCCGGCCAAGAGGAAAGCTTTGAGTCTGAGCAGGCTTTCCGTCAGGGAGCCCAGGCTCTCGTGGTGAGGGCAGTGGGCAGCACACGGTCTCCTAGGGGAACTTCTTCCAGACTGGGGAAAGGGCAGAGGCAGGGGCTGATGGGGGCCTCAGGAGCCCTCCCCTACCTGGCCATTAACCCTCGAGAGCTGCCAGCCAAACTCCTGCCCCATCTCCCAGACCTGGCTGGGCAGTTCTGAGAGAAAGGGACTGACAGTTTGTGGCCAGGGCTTGGGGGCTGACCTGGGCCTGCCTTCCAGATCAGCACGTCGCAGATCAAGGTGGACAAGGTGCAGATTATCGGCTCCAACAGCTGTCCCTTTGCTGTGTGTCTGGACCAGGACGAGAGAAAGATCCTGCAGAGTGTGGTCAGGTGGGAGAAGGGGGTCCTGGGGAGGGGCCAGTTTCTGCTCCCCAACCCAGAGGCCTGGAAGGAGCTGAGGGATGGGCCCCGCCCTTATCCCTGAACCCACCGTGGCCCACAGGTGTGAGATCTCGCCCTGCTACAAGCCGGAGAAGAGCGGCCTCTCCCCGCCACCCCAGAGGCCCCCCAACCCGCCGGCCCAGGCCGCACCTGACCTCTGCTCCCTGCTGTGCCTGCCCATCATGACTTTCAGTGGAGCCCTGCCCTAGTGCGGGCCTGGCGCCGCACCGCACAGGACGCCCAGGCGGCCTCCTCTGAGCCCCGGACTGGACGCGCCCTCTCTGTGGAGAATGGAGTCACCCTGTGCTGGGTCAGGGTCCCGCTGCCACGGGCAGGGGCCAGGGGCAAGATGGTTTCTGGGGCCTCGGGGCTCTGGGAGAGAAACAGGCATCAGGGTGGCCTTCGAGTGGGGCCTTGACCCGGTAGCCTCTCACATTCCTCACAGGAGAAGGAGAGGGATGGGTGAAAAGCCCTGACCACTGAAAGCCCTGACCACTCTCACGGCCTAGATCCTTCTTATAAGGAAGATCTGAGGCCCCGGTGCTCTGGGGTATGGTTTAAGCCTCTCCCAACCAGTGGCTAGGCCTGCCCCTCACTTTGCCAAAGACGTGGGGAGCCTTTGTGTCAGGAGTTCAGTCCCCTCCACGCTGGGGCTCGGGTGGTAGAAACGTGCACGAGACTTTTCTTTCCCTCAGCACCACCCCTGCCCCAGACACACACGCGTGACACACACACACGACACACACGCACGACACACACGCCCACCCGCGGCTTCTCTCTCTCAGGTTCCCTGGGCTTCTGAACAGCAGCACTAACAATTGACCTGTTTGTTGTCAAGACCTGGTACAGACTGTCTCTTGAGCCCCTTTCTGTATCTGAGATCCTCGGGAGGCAGAACAGGCTTCAGTTCAGTAGCAGCTCCGTTCCCTTCCAGCTAAATAACCAGAGGAAGCAAATTAAATTTGAGCTTCCGTTTCCTCAGCATGAAAACGGCGGGGCAGGTGGGAGTAAGACCTCCGAAAAGGGTTGAGAAGAAATTGTCTGCAAAGACCCAGCCCCACGCCGAGATGAGTGCCTCACCCTCTCAGCCCTGATTCCTCCTCTTTGGGGGGCACCGGGATATTCTCACAGCCTCTGGAATGCTCCTCACTCCCGCCTTCCCAACTCACGGCTGAGGCAGAACCCAGATTGAGAAAGACACCTTTGTCAGGGTAAGATGGGGCTGCTCAGGAGCCCCACTCCCCTCCCCCTTCTCTGCCAGGTTGGCCCCGGGACCCCCCACTCCCGTCCCACTCTTTGGGCTGGTGCACGTTGTGCGAAGAATCTTCCAGACCCACGAGTGCACTGGCAGCGTTCCATTACCTGGGCGAGGTCCCAGAGCTGAGGATGACTGGCCCCTGGGAGCTTAGTGCCCGCTGGTGGGAAGGTGGGACTGATGCGTGCGAAATGAGGGAACACGAGAGCCTGGAATTTCAAACGGCCAGGCTGGGGTGCTCGGCAAAGTTGGAACCAAATGTGGACTGGGGTGATAGGCTGCAGGCAGGACTAGGATTTGGGCTGGTAGAGATGGAGAAAGTGACCAGGAACACCAAACTGTATCCCGCGCAGAGCCCCTCTTCTTCTCCTGATTCATCCTGCTCCGAAGGTGCTGGGCTTATCAGAGCCCGTGAAGTCCCAGCCTGGAGTTCTCATACTCGAGAGAAGTGGGCAGGGCCAGCCCCGCCCCGTCTCGCCATTCCTCCCGTCCTTGCTGTTTGCACTTGCTCCAGGCTCCAGAGAGTAGGGGGGCCATGTACCTTCAGTATCTTTTTGCTGTGTGAGCAGGTTGTCCAACTCTGTGATCAACAGATGTCTAGGAATTAATGAATGGAATTTAATATTATTGTCAAATAAAACTTGATTCGTCTTGTATTTAATGGCCAAGTTATTTTGCTGCATGACATATAACTGCTAGTTGGGCAGTTTGCATAAATCATTTCATATATAGCAGAAATGAAATTCTTGGGAGATTGTTTTGTGTATATTTTTATAATTTTCCTCTCTATGGAAAATATGTTTGGGCTAACGTTTTTCCCCAACACTGTTCCATTTAGGCCTCATCATACTCACTGACCCACAGAACAGAAAATCCTAGACTTAAGGACTCAGTATTTGGGGTTTTCTGTGGCACCTCGCTTAAGAAATATAAGCCCATAAATCCAGCTGCTCCCAGTATCCCAAGCCCCAGGGAGGGGATGGGCCTGAGGCTGTTGTTACTGATGGGATGCGTGGACCATGCAGCTGAGAGGAAGGGAAGAGAGCTCAGTGGTGGTCCTCTGCATCTGGAGGGAGAGAGGAGGAGGGGAAGGGTGGTGGAGGATACCTGTGACTTGGGAGAGGTGAGCACTGGGCTTCCAGAACAACCACTCAGGAGAGAGGGAGAGGCACTGGGAGATGCTCTAGCCTGCATCAGCTAGCTATTGCGAATGGTAAAGCACACCTGGAAGTCAGTGGATTAAAGCTCTGGTCATTTATTCTCGCTCATGCACCTACAGGACACCTAGTGATCATTAGATCCAGTTGGGCTCAGAGTGGCTCCAAGCTGCAGGACAGGTGCAGATCCACCCAGTAGGTCTCTCAGCCACTTCACATGCTGGCACAAGAGGGCACATGGAGACATGCGACGCCTCTAGGGACAGGGCCTGGAACTGGAACAGCATCCCTTCTGCCAATATTCAATTCGGCCAAAATCGATAAGGAACGTCAACCTACGGATTCAATAAAGTCAGCAGATCTACACAGGATAAAAGCAGTATCACCTGAGAAAGGCACTTCACCTCTGATATTCTTTCCATAACCCCAGTCTTACCCTGAGCAAAGCATCATACAAACCCAGATTATGGGATATTCCATCAGATACACTGACCAGTGCTCTTCTAGACTGCCGGTGTCGTGAAAAATGAGCAGAAACTGGCTGGGCGAGGTGGCTCATGCCTGTAATCCTAGCACTCTGGGAGGCCAAGGTGGGTGGATTGCTCGAGGTCAGGAGTTCAAAACCAGCCTGAGCAAGAGCAAGACCCCATCTCTACTATAAATAGAAAGAAATTAATTGGCCAACTAATATATATAGAAAAAATTAGCCAGGCATGGTGGCGCATGCCTGTAGTCCCAGCTACTTGGGAGGCTGAGGCAGCAGGATCGCTTGAGCCCAGGAGATTGAGGTTGCTGTGAGCTAGGCTGACGCCACGGCACTCACTCTAGCCCGGGCAACGAGAGACTCTGTCTCAAAAAAAAAAAAAATGAGGAAAAACTGACAAACTCACAGATTAAAGGAGACTGGGTAACCTGACACCTAGAGATGTGAAGTGCACTGGACAGAATCCTGAAACAGAAAGAACATTAACAGAAAAGCTGGTGAAATCCCAGTGAAGTCTGGAGTTTAGTTTTTATTTCTGTGTTTTTTTAATTTTCATCAGGTATTTGCTAGGACCAAGATACCACACATACGTAATATAATTTAATGATGTGTGTGTATTTGGTATGATTTAATATTCCATGAAACCCCTCAATGTAGACAATCTCCCAAATTTGTGCAAGGGTACTGCGAGATTTTTGAGGCCGGGGTAACCTTCATACTAGAACATCAGGCAGGGGTTGGTAGAAAAGAAGATTATTTATCAATCTCCCCCATAAACTTACATACTAAAATCCTTACTAAAAAGTTAACATGTTGAATCCAATTTTATATAAACAGAATAAGTATTTCAAAACCAAGTTCGATCTATTCCTGGTAAATATAGATGGCTTAACAATCAAAAATAAATCATCCTCCTGGCATGATGGAATAAAGATGTTGACAAATCCTCTCCATGAAAAACTGGACAAAATTATGTACTATATATAAAATTTAAAAATCAACAGAGGGATGCAAATGGTACACTAAAAATGTTTAACAAAGAAGGCAATAAAAGAAGAACAGAGGAACAAAAAAGATACAAGACAAAGACAAACAGAAAACCAAGAGCAAAATGGCAGATGCAAATCTAACCATGTAATAATTACATTAAATGTGAATGGGTTAAATAAATGCTCTTTAGACATAATTGCCAGACACAAGAAGGTTGAAAGAAATGGGATAGAAAAGACGTACCATGCAAACAGTAACAATGAGTGCTAGAGTTGCCAGTATCAGATAAAATATGTTTTAAGACAAGAAATATTATCAGAGACAAAGAGGGACATTTCAAAATGATATAAGAGTTAATACATCAGGAAGATATAATTATTATAAAATCGTATACACACAAAAATAAAGCCCTAAATTACATAAAGCAAAAATGCATAAAACTGAGAGAAAAAATAGACAGTTCAACAAAAGTAGTCAGAAATTTTAAAACCCCACTCGATAACTGATAGATAACTAGACAGAAAATCTGCAAGGATATAGAAGACTTAAACAACACTACCAATCAATTTGACCTATCTGATACTTGTAGAATACTTCACCCGCCTACAGAATACACATTGGTTTCAAGTCATGGCATGATGCAAACTGCTAAGTTCCTGTAGAAAGCCCACGATCTTTCTGGACTAGGAAACCAGGAATAAAACATGGGGCAGCCACAGCCACTGGAAAGTGAGGGGGAAAATCCTGAAGGGAAACCAGAGAGATAGAGTCCCTAATTCTGGGTACAAACTCTGCCCCAAGTATTTAAATGGTCCCTGAACCATGCACACATACTTTGTTGAGACTCAAACCATCTTGCAGCTAAGACTAAATGACTGAATTGAGATTTGAATTGCTGCCTGTGAAAGATGGGACAGAATTTGTAGTTTGAGTCGAACCAAAGTCATTGCCTGCTTAAACAAAAATACGAACACTCTTCAGAGGACTATAACAGAATCCAGAGTCTCTACAATATAATATTCACTATGTCCAGAATGCAATCCAAAATCATTCAACGTGCAAAAAAAAATGTGACTCATTCTCAAGGAAAAAGATAATCAACAAAGACCAGAACCAAGATGACCCAGATGTTAGAATTACCAGACAAGGACTTTAAGTCAGCAGTTACAATATGCTTAACAATGTAAACAAAAACTACATTCATAATGGAAAGAGCCAGGATGATTAGCTTTATTCACAGGCTCCCAACCATGGCTGCATGTTAGAATTGTTTAAGAATCATTTATATTATGAAAGACCAATGTCTGGGCCCCACCCTAAACTAACTGAATCAGTCTCTGGGAAATGGAGCCAAGATATCAATATATTTTAAAAGTTCCCCAGGTAATTCTGATGGATGGTGAGTGTAGAAAACTACTGCCTTGGCTATTATCACTCTCACCAGAAAGATTCTTTAAACCATATTTCCGCATAAATGACTGGCCAGCCTAAGAATGTGTCCTCTATAGGTCAAATGCACACACTGGATACAATCACCATAATCTGTGGGCCAACCCATGGGCCAAGTGATCACAGACTAAAGGGACTCTGAGCCAGAATGTCTCATCCAGTCCATGAGCTCTTGCAATCTGAGTCATTGAGCACTGAGGAAGGGGGGCGGGACAGGAAATTGGGACTAGAATCCCAGCTGGGTCCTGCCATTGGCAGGTGAAGGGAAAAGAGGGGTATGTACTTCCCAGTGCTTCCCCATCTTCTTCCCCAAGCTAGACCTTCCTCCACATAGCTACTTCACCACGGGCTGGGGAGCTGGCAATAAACTTGAAGACTCTCACCTCATGATGCTCACAGTGGAGTTACTCCTGCGCTAGGGCCTTAACATTCTGGCCTTGCCATCCCTGGAATGGACATTATTCTCCAATTTGGGGAGGAGATGTGTAAGTCCCCCTTTGCCAGTTTCTGCTTCCTGGAAGGCTGGGCAGACCTCAGGGGCCCAAAATCAAGCTGTGTGCTGCAGGTCTCAGGGCGTGGACCCATAGAAGGGTGTTCTCCTCACCCCTACTTCCTTAAATTCTTCCTGCACCTAGGGGATCCCCATAGCTCTGCATTTCCGAAGCCCCCTTTGCTGGATGCAGCACTCTCTCAGACTAGCCCTCTGATCATAGCGGGGCCAGGGAGGAGCTGGAACACCCACCCTCCGTGTGACCCCAGCCACCTCACAGTGTCTCCAAGCCCTGGCTCCTTGCCTGTGAAAAGGACACGGAGTCCACTTTCCAGGGAGTGTGCAGGGTTTATAAGAGGAGCCATATGAAAGGGAATGGCGCTGCAAACACGTTGTCCAGGTAGCCAGAAACAATGGCTTAGACTTGTTTGTTCTCAGGCAGCTCTGAGCTTCCTCTAGGGGCCGGAAGGTAGTGGTCTGTCACCATCCTCAGACCTCTCCCTGAGGTTCCTGCCATCCAGGTTATGCCTCCCCAAGGGGAAAGGTTTTTCCCACAACCCCTGGGACAGGGGAGCCGACAGCCCCCTGTCTGCCCAGCGCAGAGGCAGCAGGGAAGTTCTCAGGCCCCGCCTGCCCAGTGCCTGCCCCAGGGGCTTCAGATCGCCCCTCCCCCATCTTCACACCCACCCCCCACCCCACAGCTGGGAGTGGTTGCAGCTTCCCTGGGAAAAAGGCTTCCCCGTTTTCTTGGGGGAGAAGCTACTCTCCCCTTTCCCCCGAATCCCTGAATGCCTTTCTTCCTTCCCCCAACCCTACCAATAAAATCAGGGTAAAGGAAGCCGGCTCTCCTGGGAGAGGGTGCCACCCCTTCCCTCTGAGGGCAAAGCTAGGCAGGTGGCCGACTGTGTTCCCAGGTGTGCCAGTTTATTTCTCTCTGTTCTGTGCTCAGGCACATCTGTGTCCCCCGGCTCAGACCACGGCCCCTGAGACTCTGAGTGTGTGGTCCCTGGGGAGGCAGCTGTGGTCCCTGCAGCCATGCACCTGTGGCCGTCTCTGCGCAGGCGCAGTAGGAAGAGACGGTGCCCG